AGTTTTCATTATTTTTTCTTCAACTAATTGTTATGTGGGGAGACTTCACCTGGCACACTTGCTGTCAACCATGTGGATCACATCTAATTATTGGCTACACCATACGATTTTTTTGTTCATCTAGTCATTTGACAAACTAAAAAACCGGATCTAGACTCAAATTATAGTACTATTTTTGTACACGGAGATTCAAAGTAGATGAATTTTTAAAACTACGAGCTGGAAAAATTATAAATTAGACGACAGGAGCAAGGTTTCTTTGCTCTTTTTCATTTTTCCTGTAAAAAAATATTTGTTTCAAATTTTTATTGTATGAAATTCTTGAGAAATTTTGATTTTATAAATTAGACTCTACTCNGAAATAAGAACACAAGAACAGATATCTTTTCTCAAAATTCAACGATGGCCCTCTTATTCTGCTCAAAACCGTATATACATAAGGAGGAGTCCATCTCCCTTCAACTTATTCAATAATCCCAACTAATTAATTAACTAGCTAAATAATAATAAAAAGCATCATACTAAATATCATTATTAGCAATAAATAAAAGACGACACTGGACCCGACAAATAAATATGCTAAATACGAAGTCGGTCGTATTTCTGCAAAAACGCCAACGCAGTCTCGTCTCTATCAATTTTCATGCCATATTATTAGTTATTATTTTTAGATTGTCAATATTATTTATTATTCCAAATTTAGAAAATAATAAAATATACGTTGAATCAAAATAAATAATATACTAAACACCAAACTATGTCAAAGATATATAATAAATAAAATTTATGTAACCATATATAAATATTGCATAGACAAGGGCCAAAATGAAATTGCAAAAAAATTTTGCAGCAGGGAACTGTATAAACGCATATATGCGTTATGTGGAGAGAGAAAATCAACTCAGACGCATTTTGGGATTGGTATTGTAGTTCGGTTGGAGCAAAATTTTGGGTTTGGGTATGCGTTTCCAACTCGATTAGAGTTGGTCTAAGAGCTGACCTAATTACAAAAAAGACCCAGTAATATTTGAAAAAATATAAATACCTTTTTGGCATATATATATACGTGTGTGTGTCTTCTTGAAAGGCGTGCACCGAAATCGAAACCAAATGAAAGTTTTTATAATCGAAATGAACCGTACAACAATGTAAGTCTTGTTCGGTTTTAGTTTTGACCTCGGTTTTCCTATGTATTTAATTTATAATTTAATTTGGTGCATTTTGTTACAAAATCGCACTTAACAAAAATAACCAAAAATCGAACTTGTGAAAACTAACAGGAAAAAGAAAACTCACTAAATCGCACGTTTAGGCTCACTTTTTTTGTTTCGTTTTGCTCACCCAAAGCCTCAAAGTCAACCAGTGTTTGCTCAATGTGTACAACTTCAAGGGGTTACTCTGCAATTATAAAATAGGGGTGTTTTGTAAATTAAAATTAAGTAAAACCTCAATGGTATGCCTGGAAATATGAGAAGATAAATATGATGTCTGATAAGTGAAAATGATGTCTGTTGGTTTAAAATAGGTGGGAACTTCAGCTGCATATTGGGAGTCAATGGAGCGTTATTTCATACTCTTGGCTTCTTTCGTTCTTGTCAATATCTGGGTCAACCTAAGGTTGGAAATTTGAGCTTTTGCAATGAAATTAATGTATTGAAATCAATGATAATCTAATGGTAAGACTTAAATTTAATAGAATCCACATACTTTTTTAAACCCATGAAATGCCACATAAAATCCATCATTTAATAGTTTCTATTGACATGTAATTTGAAGGATTCTACAGAATACATTGAATTTTGGGGAATTTTATTAGAATCCGTAAAATTCAAGTAAATTCATGCACATTAAAAAAAAATCTCAAAATTCTAAGTTAGGAATATATATTATAGTGAATTCTGAGAAATTTTTATTAAAATTCGTAAAATTCCTGTAAATCTACAATCTAAAATTTGAATTCTATGTTGGGATGCTCCTGCTAAGTCCTGATGCATTCCAGTAGAGTCAATGAGAAATTGAAGATAATGGAGCTATATATAAATCTTAATCTACATAATTCCATATTGATGATAGTAATTTTAATAGAATCTATATAATTCTAAGGTGATTAGGTGAGGATTCATTTATTTGTGTAGAATTTTGAGTTACAATCAAATTTTCTATTGAGCAAACCTCTCCTAAAATTCTAAACAACTCTTAAATCTCCATGTCATTTTATTTTATTTATTAAAAGTTGTGCAAAGCATAAAGACTATCATTCAATTCAACAGCTCTATACTAACCCAACAAAAATATATATAAAAATTAAGAAAAAAAAAAAATCACCTTTTGATTCTTTACCTGTAATTCTTGTGCTGAAGGCTGAAGCCTAGAGGCTCGAAATACCTTTAAATTGGGACAAAAGCAGTAATTTAAAAATATAGCCCTTTTTATTTACCATTAATAAACTGATATCTCTAGAGTAGTTTTTGCAATTATCCCCATAAAGCACAACAACGATGCTAAAGTTTTCATGTTGAGTGCACAATATATTATGCCTTCAAATATTTACTTTTAACCTTCTATTTTTGGTCTTTTTGTTCACTTCATGAGCAGCAACGATGTATATGATTATGATACAGGAGCTGATAAGAACAAAAAAGAGTCTGTTGTCAATATAGTTGGCAGGTTGGCATATTATTTTCCCTACAAATTCAATGGAGTACCATTTATTAGATCTTTTTTCGGTTAGCACCATTGCTTTCTAAGACACTATTTGGAGATCAACACTGAAAAATTCCATTAGAATTTATTTTTTTGGTTTATTAGTTAAAATTTGATGAATCCAACAACCATTATTCCAACGGTTTATTATTATAAGAAATTTCATCGGAATATGCAATTTCAGTTGAAATTGTTTTTTTAAGTTAATAATCTCAACCATTGGAAAAACTGTCGTTGGAATTAGTGAAAATCCAATGAAAATTCCAATAGAATACTTATTCGAAAAGAAACATTTTTGTTAAAACTTTTATTGGAATTTTCTAATTGAAGGTATAACTTTGGAACGTCCGTGTTGGAATTCTGTTGGAATTTAATTATTTTCTTGTGATGAACCAATTTCACAAATATTTTGTTTTAACTCATGTAACATGACATTCTTTGTAGCCGCACGGCCATCCATATTCTTTCATTGTTACTACTTGCTTTCGGTTTTACCGGCCTTTCTTGGGTGGGGTTTGAGGCTAAGAGCCCGCGTGCTATAATACTACTGGCTTCCGCAATCTTTTGCGGCTATATTTAGCAGGTTTAAGAAAGAAGAATGAAAACTAACATTGCCTTGAAAGTTTATTCCTTTCGATGAGCCTAATGTAGATTGCTTTCGATGTCGAAAAATAATTATTTGCAGTGTCCACCGTATCGTTTGAGCTACCAAGGATTGGGAGAGCCCTTATGCTTTGCAGCATTCGGCCCCTTTTCAACCGTTGCATTCTATTTGCTCCAGAGCAGTTCAAGGTTTCTTTATAAGTTAAAATTAGTTATTTCAACATAATTTCATTTTGACACTAATGATATATCTATGTTATTTACAATATCAGTGAGCTACCTGTATCTAGAACAATCATGAGTGCTTCAATTCTTGTTGGTTTTACTTCATCCTTGATCCTCTTTTGTAGCCATTTTCATCAGGTGATCTCTCTCTCT